CTCAACTTATTCATGTAAATGTTTGGGAAAGAAGTCTTTTTTATTAGATCATGAATTTATGGCAACGAAACTTGCATTTCTCATGATAGGTTGGGTGAAATTATTTGCAAGTTGGCCTTTTTATTCAGTTTCTAACTAAAGATAGATTGACTTGAAGTTTGGACTCATGATTTTGATGAAGTCTTTAGCGAAGTGTCCTATGACTCAGATAAATCTATGTTAAGATTTTCATTGCCATTTGACAGACATCATCCGAGCATAAAAACATCCTTCAACACAATTTAGCTTAATAAAAATCTTCTTTAAACAATTTCCAGCTTAATCAAGCAAATACTGATTTATCCATTTAATGCTAATCCTTACGTACTTGAAGATGAATTTATATGATAACGGCCCGACATCCACTTGCCAACTTATCTCACTTATAATTTGATTCTGTAACGCCAGAGCGAATCATAGTGTGCGTTGAAATTAGTGTTTGTGAATTCGACCTTAGATGTTGCTTGATTTATTTTGATGAGTAAGTGAAGTAGCCTAACAAATCATTGGATGCCCTATTAAGGATGCTAACTTTGGTTATAAGAAGTATATTGGATTGTTGCCTGCCTCTATTAAATAGGATTTTTTCAAAGAAAGGTTTTATGTTTTATTGATATCTATCACATTAAAGGCGTAGGATCACCATTCAATTATTAGGGTTTCATGAAACTGCGTTGATCAAGGTAATTTTGCAAGACCAACAGTTGTACTCACAAGGTAAATATTCTTCCGTTTCCAGAGGTCAAACAATTTTTGTCCATTATAGTCGATTTTTCATTAAAGGGTTTTTGAAATACTACTCTTATTCACATGTACTTATGTACTTTTAAATAAAAGATTACGGATTAAAATATGTCACTTCGCCCTCTAGGGGTTTTTATTTCGGATCCACTACATGACAATAGAAAATAATGTAATCAAAATGTTTCGCGCCTAACATATCATAGAGCTAGGGCATGACAAAGAGTCGACCCACAATAGGTCCATTACATTTCTCAAATTAATATTTTTGGGACATAAATGCGGACTCAGATTTATAGTCCCAATTGGTCCTCCGACTTTTTTTTCAAAGCATAGCAATAAATATAAACAATTTCTACTCACAATCACAGTAAAAAAAAGCAGAGCCTTTTGTGTTTGTGCAAAGCGCCTCTGTATTGTTTCGTCTTTAAAGGGAAGATCTGAAGCAGCTTGGCCCATCGAAGTTTTCGAGTCTGTGCACCCCAGACATTCATCTGCTTCTGTACCAACTCTGGCATCACAAGTGGAGACAATGGGTCGGTGGTATACTCCTATGCTTCCAAAAATTTGTCCTGAATTTACAGTATCCTCTTCGTTCCGGCCAACTGCATCAGAATTCCTTACTTCTGTAACAGTGTTGCGAAGGGGCAGTAGACCTTGGCCAGACAGCACAGGGGCAGCCAAGAGCATAGTAGCATTGGTGGAGAGGGATGAGGACGAAGCGGAACCGTTGCTCATATTTGGTGTTGTTGTTTCATGCATCACAGAGAGCTCGACTCCCGGTGTATATTCCGGACTACAGACATCATTCTGAGGATGTGTGTTAAATGGACCTTGCCTAGACTGTGATCCATCTAACTCAAGGGGAGATGTTTGAGTCACGGATGAATTATTCTCACCCCCGTATCCATCTGAGTAAAAACTAAAGGCACAGGCATCAGGAGAGTTGAAACGTCCGGCTGGATAAGGTGTATTGGTGCTGTTGCTTCGCATCACAGCTGGTTTTCGCGTCACCTGATTGGCCTTCTCAGCAGCTCCCAGGCTTCCACGGCCAGCCAGAAATGTGCCAGGCATGGCGTACCGACTTCGAGGCAGGGTGTGACAAAGATCAAGTAGCTCGAGTCGGAATTGCTCATTATTATCTTCTTGCTCTTTTATTTTTTAAATATATATGATTAAATAAAATTGCTTAAGGTTATAGGCTACCGGTTTTGTGATTTCTAAATAATTTAACGATAATCTGTATTTAGGATATTATTAAATTGTATTGATTTAATAATAGTATGATATGATAATTGAAATTAGTATATCATATAATTATTTGTGCATTCATTATAATTATACTGATCTTTATAGTTGATGATTATAATAAGTATATATGTCCACTATATAATTTTATTTAGCTACATTTATTAATCAATACTTACTTAATTGTATTTGCCCATAATAATAATAATAATAATAATAATAATAAATATAATAATAATTACATTTGTATAAAATTACGAGTAAAGAAACATATATAGTTAGTTGTCTTGATTGTAAATAAGAGGCCTAGTTAGCTTGGCCTTTAGTATGGTCGCCGTGGTCTTTCGCTTTATAGAAGTTGTTTGACATTTTTGTCCTAACTTGGTCGCAATTCCAGAGAGACCTAAAGGAACGAACTCTGCCTTGAATCCATGGTATCCATGATAATTTCCATCGTTGGACCATTAAGTTGGTACATTGCCAGACGTTTTGCTGACATCGTAGTCGGGATCGTTATTTGTCAAAGAGACAATTGAAGCCAATTCTTTGACTAACTATCTGCTGAATAGTTGTTAATCTCTTCTTCTTTCCTGGTACATTCACCAATATCACAACTGTTCAGCAGCAATATATTTAAAGGATGGAATTTACTTGTCTCCTTGACGAGTTGTCGTGCTGTGCCAAGAATGGCAAGGCCCAACTATGATGCCATCTACGATGCCGGTGAAACGACTGGGAATGTACCAATCCATAGTCGGACTCTGGAAATTATCGTGAATTTTCGACAAGATGCATTCTTTTAGGTCTTTCTGACAATGCCAGCAAGCTGCAAAAATTAGGTCAAGCAACCTTAATAACTTATAGTATTTAATGAAAAAACTCAGCTATATACAAATACAAAAATTTCCTGGAGCTGCAGAAGCCTGCATTACTCTGAAAGTCATATTTTTTATCTGAACCACTGTCATATGATTTATGGGAAACGTAGTTGCTCTTTTATCCTCACACACTTGGTTGAGATTCTGCTGAATACGAATAATGATAACTAGGCTTGGCTTAAGGAAGATAGGGCAACATCATTTGAATATGAGACATATATTTGATGTTTTCTATATTCAATTTGAAAGTCTCTGGAATCGAAATAAGCCATTTAACTTGAAATCATTCAAAGGCATATTTTCTATTATACAGATTCATCATTTTGACCAGTGAAATTATTTTTGTTATGATAGAAATAAAAGATGTTATTTGATTACTCTCTTGCTTTACATATGTTGAGTTAATTTCTACTTCACACCAGAGTGTGCACGGCAGAATCCCATATGCCCGTCTGACCAGAAGACAATAAATTCCTCAAGGTCAGTTTTATTGGCTCGTTAGTCTGACTTGGTTGTAAACGTGATGCTGAATGTTATATAACATATGGCTGCCTAATGCGTTTTCAACAAATTTGAAGGAAATTGAATGAGTTTCGTGGAGCTCAGATATATATGTTTTAAGTTTGCGGGTTCTGGTTGCATCTATACAGAGTGATTGCGATGGGCAATCCATATAAAATATTCATTTTCCATCCCAAATAGCTCCTATAATAAATAATTTCTAATCGACTTAGATGTATTAAAATACTTTGCTATTTTTAATTACAGGCAAATAATGGACCAAAATGAACAATCTTCAGAGGATACGCTCTCAATTACAACCATGAGTTTATATGGATTTGCATACGATAGCTCATTTATAGCAAAAAGCTTTTAAACGCTTAATTAGTTGTATAAGTAAAACGCTTCTGGCTTTTTCTGTTTGTTTATTGCTAGCTGCGATGCAATCTTATCTTAAGCGCTCGTTCCTAAATCCTAGCAAAATAAAAGGCATGCTCAACAGTAGAGGCTAAGTTATTATTACCGACTCTAAAGTAGCTTGCACCTCGAACTGCTCATTCATCAGAAACTCAATCTGGAGTATTATTATTAACCCATCGCCGTACTTACCTTAAACTATATGTGGCCACTCAAATAAACGTTTAACGCGCTGATCTTTTTTAATTAATCATGCTGGTCCATATGCCATTATTTCTACATCATTTATGGCTTTCTAAGGCATAGAATAACACAAAAACAGGGACCACTATGTATTGCTATTAAAAGATGCTAAAATAGACTAAATAAAATGCTATGTTCTGCAATCAAGAACTTAAAATATCAAGAATATTGCTATATTGTGAATGCTTTGTTCGATGAGGTCAAGGTAGCAAATAATTTCGATGAGAACCCTTGGCGTCATGTGTTCCTATATTATCTGCCTATTGGCTTTGGAGGGGAGCCGAGGTTAAGTTAATTTGAGAGAAAAGTATTCAAGACCAAAGGAGGGGAAGAAAATTGGCTTTACTTTCCACATTGACGAGTGAAATGGTAAAATGTAAGGTTCAGTAATCATACCGATTAATATGTATGCTAAATATTTGAGAACGTATCCAGTAAATGGTTCGATGTTGGACGAATAAACTACGGTATTAATATAGGACTCAGTATGGGGGAACCTTCTGCGAAGTTATCCTGAAAACACGACTAACTCACAAAAATGGGCCCTAACATCTCCTCACTATTTAAAACCCGTTTATATCCCATCTCTATTAGATACAAAACAAAACTTAGTGTTTAACGTCAGTAGAACTGCCTAAGAATCCTCAGGCTAAGCGGATTCGATAGCAGTAGTATTATCATTCTTGTTCTTCTTACTATTATTATTTGATAACAATGGAAGTATAATTTAATCACTCCTACTGATTGCCCATAGAAAATAAATCCGGAACAAGGGTTCTTTCTCTATAGGTCTGAGTTATACCCCTGTTCATATAATTTTAAACATTCTTATAGAAAGATATTGAGGATAAAAGTGTTATACAAGAGTTTGACCAGAAATGTTTTCATTATAATATTTTAAAAAATGTATGCTCTAGTTTCATGAACAACTTTTTACTTTTGAAAGAAAATACTATCGAAAATTCTATCATAGTGAGAGTAAATATGTTTTTACACAGAGTAATACATTTGCAAGTAGATGGCTACATATGTAGAGAACAGAAAAATAGGACGAAAATATTTCTTTATCGTACTTCTGGCTTATTCTTAATTCGCTTTGATAAGATAATTTGTTATATGTTCCCTAGTAATAACACCAGACATGCTTGCTTCCAGTGACGAGTTATATTTAGTTAAAAGTGTGGCAATCACGATTATATTGGTAGGCATATAAGATTCGCCTACTGATACTTGCTGGCAAGTGAAAAATGGTTACAATTGCTAACTGACACTTTATTATAAGAAAGAAGAGTATTTTGTCCACAATGACCGTCTTCTTTTCTTACTAGTATATGGCTTAGTACAGCGATTTGAGGGTTTTGAGTAGCAATTTTCCACTCACCACAACATCACCCACCTCTTCAAAAGCAGCTTATGTCACAGCTTCATAGAGAGT